AAAATAACTGCTGTTCTTTATTTCTCTCTGTCACATATATATTTTAATATATATATATATATATATATATATATATATATATATATATATTTTAATATTATATATATTGTAAAGTTCCCCCCCCCCCCCCCCCTCCGTTTTGTATTCCAATACAACATTTTCACTTTACATCTTCATAAATTCACTTTGGAAGGGTTAGCGCTTACGTAAAGTGAAAATGTTGTATTGGAATGCAAAACGGGGGGGAGACGTTACACTACCCCCAACCTTTTAAATTTGATTCTCCTGAATCAAAATAAGACCCCGTTTTTAGTTTAACAAGAATTTATTAATCGTTTTCTTTTCTCTTCCTTTTATTCGTAAAACTTCTCATCTTTTTCTCTATTGCTTTTCTTTTTTTCTTTATTTAAAATAAAAGTTTCTAACTATGTCTCTCCTCCCATCAGGGTAGCGCGTCTCTCGCTCGTGCAATCGCCTAACCCTCTGGAACAAAGCCACCATATCCATCTCTACTTCTCCCTCTTTTACTTCTCTCCTGGGGACTTTGCTGCTTGGCTGGTCTTCTTCTCCATCCAGGGAACTTGTCAGGGGGTGTTCCTACCTTTAGCTTTCTCTCAGATGTCCTGGGGCTGGATGAAGGGGACTGAATGAGGGATGCCTCCTCGCCAGGTGTAACATCCACTAGCAGTGGGGGTTCTTCTGGGATAATATGACCTGCTGGGTTCGTCTCTTCCTTCTTCTGAGCATGTTTTCTTTTGTAGTGTTCCACCAACACTCTGTTGTCAACAAATTTCAACCCGCAATAGCAGTTAAGGCAGCTCTTCTCATGGCGCTTGCGGTTGCTTCGGTCTGTAAATGATTTCTTGCAGAACAGACAGCCTCTCATGTCTAGGAAAGGAGAGGAGTAAGTTACTGTGAGAGGTACTGGAAGGCTGACCTAACAACTTTGCTGGTATGTAAGTGAGGGGGGAGTATTAGAGACAAGCAACAGAAAATGGAAAATCCAGAATACATGACGTCGCACAACTCAGGTAAGTCTCTAAGTCGAGACTCTCCAAGTGTCGATTGAAACCATGGACTCTGGGGTTAGTAACAGAACTTTAAATTATCGTAGTGCACGACTTTGGGTTTATGCTTGTGGCTAAGCTTTATCCGGTATACTAGGTCTGAAATTCGATCTACCACCTCGTATGGTCCAGTCCATTTTGGCTGTAGTTTTGGACTCACACCCTTTTTCTTGTTGAAATCAAAGTACCATACTTTTTCTCCCACTTTATACACTTGCCAATGCACTCGGGAATCATAGTTACGCTTCTGTACAACAGCACTCTTCTTGTGCTTCTCTCTCGCTCGTTTCCAGACACTACTCAAATTTTCCCGCAACTGCAAGGCGTAGTCGGTTTGTAAAGCAGGTCAACCCGGAGGTTCCTCAATCATGGCGTAATCATGGCGTAAATCAATCTCGTGCCCTAACATCATTAAATTTGGGGAGTAGCCGGTGCTGTCGTGTTGTGAGCTCCAGTAGGCCATAAGGAATAAGGGGATCTTCTCATCCCAATCCTTCTGATGTCAACTGTGTTCTAGAAGTTTTGCAATGCCTGTAACCAAGGTTCTGTTAAAGCGTTCTACCAACCCATCGGATTTTGGATTAAACAGTGTTGTTCTGGTCTTGTAGATGCCTAGAATAGTGCAAACTTCTTTAGAACGTTTGCTTCGAAGTTTCTTCCTTGATCTGAATGCAAACTGGCTGGTGTTCCAAATCTAGCAATCACTTCTTCCACTAAAGTTCTGGCAATCCTCATGGCCCCCCAGTTAGGTAATGGAAAGGCCTCAACCCATTTGGTGAAATAGTCACTTGCCACCAATATAACCCTGTTATCTCGGTCACTTTCAGGGAAGGGTCCCAGCACATCTAAAGAGATTAGGTGGAAATGTGGTATTTTCCGTCCTGACATCAAACGGAGGGGGGGGGGGTATTGTTACAATATCATCTCCCTACCTTTATTTAGGAAAATACTTGTTCCTGACATAATGTCCTTCTGAAATCTTTTGTTGGAGATGATTTGTCTCAATGTTGTCAAGGTTTGTGAACCAGGCTCCAACCATTTCTTTTTCCTCCCTGATATCAGGAGATAGGGTCCATGTTCCTGTAGCCATCCCCAGACATCAACTGGTATTCATCATCATCATCATTTATTAACGTGTCATGTGAATAGAACACCCAGCCATTTGGGCTTATAAAACACCTGTTATATACAATTTTGCCTGTCTTAAATCAAAAATCTTAACAAAAAATTTTGCTAATTGTCTCAAATTTTTTCCATTAAGTCTTCTATAGAAATGCCATTTGTATCATTTTTTTTTTAATCTCCAACTTTTCATAAAATTTATATCTTTCCTTTGTGTAAGCAGTGCACCAAAGTAAGAAATGACTCTCATCTTCTAATTCTTTTTTGCATACTTGGCATATTCTTTCATTTGCAGGTGTATTTGTATACCGTCCAGTTTCTACATGCAAAGGCAAAATGCCCATTCGAAATTGAGTAAAAATTTATTTTTCTTTTCTATTTAAATCTATGTGTAAATATTTTTTCAATTCTTTTTTAAATGTCATATATGTTCAAAGTTTAGGAAATTTCAAGATGTCTTTTTTTCATTTAATTTGGAATTTTTCATAAAACAGTTTCTTATTTGTATTCTATATCTACAATTTGTTTGTTCAAAAAATAGGTTTCTGTATTACAGAATTTGAGTATCTCTCTTACCTCAGAGCACCAGTTTTACCCCCCAACTTTTAATCTTCTAAAAAAAATCTGTTTGACAAGTAATTCATTTTGGGCGAGTATTAAAAATTGTTCCAAAGTCAAATTATATTCAACCAACTATTAAATTTTAATGGTATCCAAGCTGAGTCACCATACATACTAATTTTTGGTGTAAATTTGTGTTCATTCTGAACGTGGTGCATGCCCCCCACCCCCACCCCCCCACTTTTGACTGAGTAAAAATTTTTAAAAAGTCATAATTTATTTTATTTTTGTATGTATTTTGGTGACTTTCTTACCACAGATACCAAACCATGTTTTTGTTTTACATCCAATATGCAGAATGGCTTTGTTTAGTAAAAAGCTGCTTGAATTAAAAATAAGCAGAATTTGATTATATTTTCACATACATATGACTTGTACAGTTAAAGTATTGAAAGAAGCTATTATATGATTAATGGTAAAACTGGTGAATTGGCAAACCCATAAACCTTGACCTGTATATTCATATTTACATATGGTGTATTATAATTGTATATGCCTGGTGCTGTCACAGAAAAAGTCTATTAAACTGTTGTTGCAACATGTTTTGTGTCTGTATATTTTGCCAGCTTTGCTGTCTAGTCTTATGTAATTGTTCATCTTATGGTTTGCCCAAAGATAAATTTTTATTAGGCTTGCCTATACTAAGCAGTGCTTAAAAGTATAAAAGATGTCTGCAGCAATTTTGTGTAAGTAATATGCATAATATCATATTATTATTATTTCTTTAAATAAAGAATTAAACAACATTTGAAGTAAGTATACTGAAGCTTTTATACTAGTATGTTCACTACTGTTGTGATCCCATTGTACTACAGTATAGTAAAAAAGGAGGAGTTCCTGTAGTTGGCTGGTAGCTGGTCCCAGCTCACACCTTTAAAACATAATATACCAAACAAATGCATGCATGGCAAGCCATTTAATTGCCAGTCCTGGCAAGTACGAGATGGTGCAACCTCTCCAGATCCAAAAGTGAAAGTGTGCCAATATCCATGTTTGGTCTCACATTGTATTTGATACCTGCCAGGGCCAACCACAAAAATGGCTTCTTCCCTGTCCTCAAGATAGGATGCACTGGCTATTCTTCTCATACAATGTTAAGTAAAAAAACTCTGGGCGATTCTGTAGATAAGACGTAACTGTGGCATCATACTTCCTATAATATCCGGCATAAGTATTGTTCTTTTTTATGTAACTGAAAAATGAATCTTTGATTACATTTATATAAGTCAGAGGTAAAAATTGACATATTTTTAAGACAAGTAAATAATGCAGAATTATACATTGGACCTGGTGAATCTCTTTGAAAACTTTTGATTAACACTTTTATATGCAACTTACTTATCAGTAGCTTTTGCACATTCTGTTATACAGTATGTATACAAAACTGATGAAGGATACTTGATGAATAAAAATATTCCAGTTTTTCACCACTTGAGAGTTACTTAATCACTAAGGCCCCATTCAGAATAGATGATCCGAGTACTAACTGCAGGGGCCTAGTAGTTAAACCTCGCAGCCAAGAATTAATCTGTTATGTGGCGTGTGTGGAGGCAGGGAGACCATCAGGAATCAGCGTCATCTCTTTTGAAGTGTGATCTGCCATATTTTGTTGGCAGATCAGTTAGCACTCAGATCTTCTATTGTGAATGGGGGCTAACTGTCACATTTAAGATATTTCATTTACGCACATAACCCCAACCAGGTAATGAGAAGTGACTATTGTATTCATCAGAGCAGTGGAGATCATAGTTGTATATGTGTCTGTACACACTGTGGACATGATATACAGTGATGAGACAGACAACATTTTAAAAGCAGCAAACTACAGTCTCTTTGCAGTGAGTTTCAGGCTTTTCTTTCCTTATGAAATATGTACAAAGTACATATACATTTACTTGGGGGAATTTTTAATGCACAAATGTAATTAAAAAGTACTATAAAGATGCTTATAAATACAGTGTTTATAAGTCTTTGAAAATTAAATTGAAAGTCTACAATGCAGTTTTTGTCACTATTTATCATACTTTTATTATTTTAGGTAAATTTATGATTTCATCAACTTTATTCACAACTTTCAATTTTAATGCACTTCTTGAAAATGTATTTGACCTTTGTTTTTCTGAGAATTATCATTTCAACATTATAAATGTACCAACCAACTTTTAATTATAAATATAAATATTAAATAATAATATTATTATTTGTTGTTGTTTTTTATGACTGTGTAAGAATATTTAGGTCTAAGAACTCAGTCCCAATAAAAATAAGAGTGCATTCAGTGTTTTATCTGTCTAGGTAGATCAATTCAGGGGGACTCTTGCTGAATGTAATCAGATTAAGAGATTAGCATACCACCCCCTAGCTTTGAGTAGAAAATGGAAAACAAGCATGTTATAAACAAAAGGAGGCGAGCCAATCCAATTGCATTCAGCAAGAGTCCCTGTGGAGTTGGATCGATTTACATAGACCAATAGTGTCATTGGGAATGAGTCCTAAATTGAGGNTGCTGTGGGATGGTATACACATTATATGTGCATGACTGAAGTTTGTTGGATGCCTGAAGCCTGAAGGTATTGAGGAAACAATATAATGGTTCAGTTGTACTTTTGTTTATTTGTCAAAATGGCATATGAAGAGAGCAAATTGTGTCGTAAATCAAATCTTACAGAAAATTTCTGAGTTGAACACTTTAAAAATACAAGGTAGTCATGCATGCAATAATCATCATAACACAAAGAGGTAAAGAAAAATAGAAACAAACAGGTCTTACAATTTATCAATCTTTGGCAGTTGTCAATTATCTGATTAATGGCATAAATTTAAAGTGTGAACATTTGGCATTGTCTTTACTTATAAACTGTTAGTACATTGACATTATTATTTTTGAGCAGTTACACTACAGAAAATACTACATGAAATTCAGCTAAGTAAAATAATCTGGGTACAAGTTTGTTAACTGAATTGTTTTGTCATAATAAGATGAACAAATGATTCCATCATGTAAGCTAAGATACATGTACATAACTGAGAAACAAAAACAAAAAAATTCTTGGCAGTTACACTGATCAATTTGCGTCAAATACAAATTTCCAATTAGCTAAGTACATTTAAATACTAAGTTCTGCATCATTTCTAAAATTTGCACTTTAATATGTCTTATAACACAATAATAACCATATTAAAACAAGCATGCATATTGATGATTAGAAATGATCTTGGAAAAAGTTGAAAATTGCTGTAGCCACACATACCATCTTTACTGTTTACAAACTGTTTAAATTTTAAACCAACAGTTCATGACAAATATGGAGAAGCTTTGCGCTTAAGACCCTCCCTCTGAGCTCGGAACCACTGCACCAGGCGCTCAGAAGACATGTCCATTTTGTTGCTTATCTCTCCAATCACTGTTTCAGAGGGATACAAGTTGCAGTCATTTCTCATCAACCATTTCCACAAATGGTTCATTTCACTCTCGTAGGGCATTGGACGACGCTCATGTTTCTTTTTCTTAGTGGGAGCTGAGTCACTGTTGTGGCTTGTATTGGGACATGTGGCGGTGGTAGTGGTGGGAGTTGGAGTTGTGCTGCCATCTAGTGTTGGTTTATTCCTTATCAGCCTGAAGGTCTCAAACCTGATGTTTTGTCGCTGGTTGCGAAACCATTTCTCCACCTGGGTGATAGTGAGGCCAGACTTGGTGGCAAGATCAGAGGTGACGGTTGACGTGGGGCACAGATCATACTGATTGTTCACCAACCACGCCCACAGAACTTTACGAGGGAAGTCGTAGCAGGCAGTTCTTGGCTTTGGAGGCATCTTGAAAGTCACAGGCTTTTGTGCTTTGTCCATATCATGTGTGGCAGATGGAGTGTCATTTGGCTCAGCGTTGGCAAGAGGAGGATTTGTTGTGGCATCAGAGCTGGGTTTAGCATTGGTAGAGCAAATGTCCATTGGCATGATGGGTGAAGTGTCAATGGTCCATGCTAAAGATGGCTGAACTGGGGTCACACTGCCTATCAAACGATGTTGTAAGTTTGATGAACAAGTGACAGCAACACCAGTGCCCCCTACTGGTGATTCAGGGGTAAGTGGATTCTCGTAGCTCCTGGCGAAGTTTGTGTCTGATGGAACAATAGCCATAGGATTGATGATGTCCTCATTTTGCGTGATATATTGTTCTAGAAGTTTGAGGCTTTTTTCAACACGATCCATGAGTCTGTACTCGATTTCATCAAAATGGCAGACTGTGGCCTTTCTCAGTTCTTGGTCACTTACAGAGGAGAGTGCTAACTCGCGTTCTTGTGTCAACTCCCTTTGCTGATCAAGATACATGGTATGGAGCTCTTGTACTTGGCTTGTTGCACGTAGTCGTAGTCTCATAAAGAGTAGATCCAAGAATGACGCTCGCACACTGATGGGAACTTTGGGTTGTTTGGCGACACCGCTGAGCAGGCTTAATGGCACTTGGGAGGAGCTGATTTCTTCCTGAAGAACGTCCCTTAATGTGGCATAATCTCCATCATCTCCACTGGGAAGTGGATTTGTTGTAGTAGACACCGGCAGTAACTGAGAGGCAGATTGAATGGCTGGATCTTCTGAGGCAAGGGAACTGTGGATGCTGTGGATCTCTGCAGTGTATGTTGGATTGGCATTTGCTTGGTCCAAATCACTTTGGTGGTACAGTGATGCATGCTGGCCCGTGAAGGACAAAACAGCCTGTAAGATGAAGAGGACAATATGTTAGAATTCGTGTAAAGACACACACTTCATACATGAAAACACTACTGTTTACTAGTGATATAACCTCAACTAAATATAAAATATACATAACAATTCATTTATTTATTTATTATTATTGTTTATTACTCGCTGAAATTCAGAAACCAAGAATTTTCATGTGTAAGAAGTAAACAGAAATATTAACTAGTTTTTTTTATTATCACTTAAATGGCTTTTGTGCTTAAACATTGACTTATTACAGGGATATGACTTTATTCACAAAAAAAAAAAGTCTAATTGCTTTACAAAATAAGTTTCTCTTTGCTAGAGCCTTGATCTTAGGTAGTTTCACTTAGTTTCATCAGGGAGAAATTTGAAAAAACATGGTACTGAACTGGTGCTGAACTGATATTACTTTTCTCACAGAGCACAGACTTCTTAAACCATTTAGACATGAAGCATGCCAAAACATACCTGGATTTCACTGTCAGTTGGCAGGTTGAGGTTTGTCTCCATGCTGGATATATAACTTGACATCATCAGGTGGCACAAAGTTGACACAAAGTTCACTTTTTGGCAGTTTGTGATAGCTGACACTGTGACACTTAAGCTTGACAGCACAGAAGAACTCACAACTTGACACAAATTTGTCAGTCTGGTGACACAGTACAAGTCACAAGGTGACACAGAGACACGTTGACACTGAAGATGCCAAAGCTGTTGTGTCCTGCCAAAAATTGGCTTCCCTTTTTATAACATGTCACCACCCTGCCACCTGCCAGTTTCCAAACATGCCTCTGATTGGCACTTTGCTTAAGCCACCTATGTAAAACTAAGCACAATTGGTCAGTGGGTGACAGTGACCAGATTGACAGGTGACAGGGGTGTTTGTTTGTCACTGACCCCCTGTGGTAGATGACACCTTTTGTTTACCTGGACAGGTAAACTGATGCTGATTGCAATCAGTGGATGTCACTGGTGTCTTACCTGTGGTATGGTACTGCAGGGAGAGTTAACTGCCTCCAGGTAAAGTGATGAAGATGGTGATTAAAAGTGGTATCCTTTGTTTACCTGTATTCTGGCAGCCCAGGTAAACTGGTTCTGATTGCAATCAAGAATGTCAACTGAAGTTTGCCACAGATGCCAAGGAGGTGGTGTTTGTCACATAGGGGGTGGTGACACTAACTGGATAACTGAGGATGGTGACACTATCTGGGTAACCAGCAGCACATGGCATTTTTTTTATTTTAGTGCACCATATACAGAAACAAATAAGGGTATGTTAGAGTAATGAGTAGTAACACAGTTTCTTTTACAAATGTTTATGTAAATAAAAAAAAATTATAACTGGATATGAATGATCAAGAATGGCAATTTTTTTTGCATGTTTTAAATTAGTTATATTCATAGATTAAAAAAAAATAAACACTCATTTGATTCTCCCCCTTCACAAATATTCACCAAATAAATTAATGGATACAATAAAAATCAAAGTAATAAATAACCTCTCTTTTGGTGATGATGTAAGTTTTGTCCCTTAGATTAATTGTACCAGTAGAAAATTCAGAAAAAATTTAAGGTAAATTGTTTAAGTTTCTTCACTGAGTAAATTACTCCTCACAGCTAGTAATAAAACCTTAAAATTTATTATTGCTTCTTAATTGATACGTTTTTTTCCTCATTGATCTTATTTATATAATTCTCATATATATTTAGGTTTGTCACTGCTGTGTACCCATCTGCTGAAGATGATGTGATAACCTCTCCCTATAACAGTGTACTAGCCATGAGAGAACTGACGGAGAATGCTGACTGTGTATTACCAGTGGAGAACCAGGTCAGTAACACTTCCATACACATGGAGTAACATTAAAAATGTATAAAAAATTGTGTCATTATGGATAGAAACTATTGAGCAGTAATATAGGGTTTAATTATAAAGTTAACGTAGACATTTCTAAAATAGCAATGATTTGTCAGGAAAAATATTCAAAAGGATGTTTGATCTAGGTTCCATGGCGTTTCTAAATGTGTGTCAGCTTAAGGTAGAAAGATCACTTTTCCAGTCAAGAACCAAGGGATTGTGATGCAAAACTTTCAGAAAAGCAAAAATTATTTTTATTTTAAATTAGTGACAGTGAGCATTTATTGGAGGCATAAAGAATGGATATTTAATACTTTTCTTCACTTTTCAGTTATCAGCCATACATACATGCTTTAATTTACACTCAAAGTTACAATAATACTTTCAATCTGTAAACAACTGCTGAACTCAGACATATTTTGCACTGCACAACAATATATTTCAGGCTCTGGTAGATATTGTCAACAAGATCAGCCAAGCTCTGCCGCCATCAAACCTGGGCAAGAAAACATTGGGGATATCAGGCAATGTGAAGGCAGCCAGCAGTATAGCCTCTAGTCATGGCAGTATAGTGAAGGGACCGGATGAACAGCCATTTGATACCATGAATAATATTGTGGCAAATTTGTTGCTGAATTTAACCAGGTATTGTTAGATGAGTACATGCGCACATGTACAAACACCCCCCAAAAATAAAAGCCAAAATGAGAATTACATATACAACAAATATTATATATATATATATATATTGTGGAAATTGTTGTTGAGTTTTATGAAGTTCATGTACATGCAGAAAAATATAGTTCATTGTCATCCCCTACCTCATACAACATACTAGTAGTTGGCCCCTTGAGAAGATAAAAAAAAAAGATAAAGAAAATTATGTTGATAATATTCTAGGACACATTGCTTAGATGTGGTAGTACATAAGATGCATTTTAAAATAACTTTATTGTTATTATCATTATTAGAACAGATTTGTTCTTTTTCAGTATTTTTTTTTTTTTTTGTTTTGTTTTTATGTAATTTAAAGGGAGTATAATTTAATAAGTCACTTCTCTTACTATTGCACTTATTTTTGAACCATTTCAGCTCGGCCAGATTTGAAGGTTCCCTGAACGTGGATTTAAACGAGATTACAATGAACCTGGTCCCATTTCCAAAGTTACACTACCTAATCTCCAGTCAGACCCCTCTGTATGCCTCAGCTGATATGAAGATACCCCCAAGAAGGTAGGAATTTAGAGCGTATTTAGAACAGCGTACTTACTTGTCCGAGGGTCAAATATGTCCGACCCACTTGAATACTTCCTTACAGGGATTCTATTCAGTGTCTGTTACCTTATTAGACAGCAAGCTTTGGAGGAGGTTGCCATATTTGACCCTCAGACTAGTTAGTCCTCTGTTCTGAATGCAGCCTTAGAGCACATTCAGAACTGCAGACTAACAGTTCAGTGGATCCAATATGACAACCCACTAAAAAGTTTGCAGCATAATTCCTCGATAAGACACTGAATACATTCCACGTGGAGAAAATGCAACAAGCATTTAGAACAGTGGACTAACATATCCGCGGATCAAATATGGCCGACCCATTCAAGTGGGTTGGCCATATTTGATTCGCGGGTCTGTTAGTCCACTGTTCTGAATGCGCTCTTAATGATCATATTATAAAACATGATAAAAAAAGTTTTAAACTCCTGTCATGACAAGGAGGTTATGTTTTTGCCTTTAATTGTTTTTCTTTTTTATTTAACCTGCCTACTCAGAAAGTTAGTGGACGGATTTAAGTTAAATTTAGAATGGAGAAGAATTAAATGTTGATTCATTATTTTATAAATTAATGAATTCTGGGTGTTTTAAAATTGTATCTTGTTATTATTATATTACATCATTTTATGGATATACCAGGCATTTTGGATTCCAGACTTTACAAAAAAGTCTGGAATTTGAAATGTTTAAAACACGATTAGTTTTCTTATATTGCATCATGCTTTTATTATCTTTATATAGATTAGACCAGATGTTTAGTGATGCATTTTCCAAGGACCACCAGCTCATCAAAGCTGACCCTAAACATGGTCTGTATCTGGCCTGTGCCCTAATGGTACGGGGGAGTGTAGAGGTGTCAGATATCAGGAGGAATATAGAGAGGTAAGTGTTGATACCTCTATCTTCAGAGTACAAGTTTGTGTCGATGTGACTGATTATATGGTACATGTAGTAGTTGTAATAAATTTATTACAGAGATTTTTATTGTCATCTATGTGTGGCCCACTCGGTCGCTAAGTCTCTACTGTATAATAGGTGTTAAATTGTGTTAGTAATTCAAGATTGACATGGACACTTTTTTTACCCTGAAAACGTTTTATTATTGTTTTTATGTCAAAGAGAATCTAATATCAGTTTATTATTAAAAGATATATCGGAGACCGTTACTACCTAAAACCTAACCTAATTCTTATTTCTCACAGACTGAAGCCGTTCATCAAGTTCACCACAAGTGCAAAAATCCAATAATATATACCTTAAAAACAATTCTACATCAGTCAGATTTGTGTCAAAAGATTTTACAAAAACCATTGCTACCTAAAACCTAATTCTTATTTCTCCCAGACTGAAGCCGTCCTTGAAGTTTATCTACTGGAACCAGGAAGGTTGGAAGACTGGCCTGTGTTCCGTCCCTCCTGTTGGTCAGCCCCACACCCTACTGACCCTAGCTAACAATACCTGTATCAGACACACCTTTTCTGACCTCAGGGACAGGTTCAGCAAGCTGTATAAGAGAAAGGTAGGAAGTTACCAGGAAATCTAGGATGTCTTATTTATTTGTGTATGTCTGTGTTTTGTTTGTTTGTTTATTGTTTTATTCATCCTTTCTTTCAATCGTTCATTCTTTTTTAATGTTTTCATTTTATTGTTTTCATTTTCATTCTCTGTTCTTTCTTCATTAATTCATTAATTTATCATGTTGCTTATTTACTTACTTTTTTATAAACTCACTCAGTTACTAATTTATTTATTTATTTATTTATTTATTTATTTATTTATTAATTTATGTATTCTGTTTCCAGGCTCACATTCACCACTACACACACGTGGACGGGATGGAAGTCAGCGACTTCGCCGAGAGTCTGGAGTCCATAACCTCTGTGATACAAGAATACGAGACTTTAGACTCACAAAAAGACATTGTGCCCGAATTATTACCCAGACTACAAGTTGTATGAAACTTACAGAATCTTAATAATATAAACCAGATTGCAGCAAGTTGGAGAGTTTGACTGGAAAAGTTTAATCTGAGCGTATGACTGCGTGTGTGTGCACGCATATGTGTTGAGGGCCTGGAGCGCGGAGGGGGTGGGGCTGGGGCATATTGTGTTGGGGGTGGTCGGCCCATGCCCTAGTAATAATCCACTTTACCAAAATAACACAACAGAGCTGGGCCTCTGGGGACGTGTATTTTGACAGCGCCCCTTGCAGAGTTGAAGGTAGCTCCTACTGGGAGAGTGTATTAGGTTTCTCGTCTTTATTATGAGAAAAGATAGTGTTTGATAGAGATGTAGGTGTCTCGCCTACGTAGTATGAGATTTATAAGTAACTGGGGTCTTGATGGGTACGATACATAGAAACATTGATATATGGAAAAAGTTTGCCGCAATCTTCTACAAATCAATAAAGAAAGGTACATGTATTGTTCAACATACGAGCGTATCTGTTTTCCTGTTCTTCACTGGACCGATTACAGTGTCCTGGTAAAACTTTAACTAACAGGTGCTTTTACCCAGGTTAATTGTGACTGTGCCGTGAATGACAAAGTCTAATTATTATGTATGTTTAGCAAACATTTCGTGTCGTTGCAACCAAGGTCTAATTTTCAGTTTTATTCAAGTGATCACCTCCAGACACCTTGCAATAGTAACGCGCTGGAACCTTCATGGAGAGCACGTTGTTTTTCAGCAAGTATGACAGGAATGCGAGTCCGGGGTCACGTGCGGATCCAGGATTATTTGAAGGGAAGGAGGGAGAGGGGTCCAGAACGACAGGACTCGGATGCGAAGCCCACCATCGCCCCTTTGACGTGGGGTTCAGGGCCTGCTCAAGGACCCCGAAAATTTTTTGGTGTTTTGGAGGGCAAACTGTGCCCTTTGGTACGGTTTAGAACTATGATTTAGCTAGTCAAAATTCTAATTTCAAGAGGGGAATATTGGTGTGATATTTTTTTCAGAAACCGAAAAGGGGGGGGG